AGCTCCATAAGCAACTCATCTTCTCTTACATTTTTCAATCATTGTTTCAATGCAATTCCAGCAACGCAGGGCTGAGATAATGCAAGATTTAGGTAACGTTCAAAGCTACCAACAAAAGGATTAACTTCAAGAGGGAAGAATCAACGTTTTCGCCAGAAATGCAACAAATGGCTCTGAGGTAACTAGTATCAATAAACATTTTGTGCCATTCATTTGACCGGTTGAAACAGTTACGGAGCTGAAGCCAACAGTATTAAATGTTTTAAGCAAAATTAACAGAAAACTAACAAATCTAACTTATCGCACGTAAAATTTAAACACATCTCATAAAAAGGAGTAAGACAGCGACCCTGTAAATTACATGTAATATAGCAATCTGATAGAAGGAAGTAAAGAAGAACTTACGAATACAAAGCTAATGCTCTCTGTATAATATAGGTAGCGTTGTTGTACTTGGTCTGAAGCCTTCGATCGTCGCACTCTCTAATTGCTTTATCGATCTCCATTGACCGTGGCACACAGCAGAAAACTGAACAGCACAATTAAACATGTGATCAGAGCAGGCAAGGATCTCAAAGATTGCGGATTTGTGGCATTTTCTATGAATCAAACCTGGCTTTCCCCCGAAAAAATTCCCTTTTCGCAGCGAATGATTGCAGAAGAATTTGAAAGCGGCCTACTGCTCTGAGCAAGTTAAGTGAATTACTATAATGAAACAAAGAAGCTCAAAGGTCAACAAGGACTGGGATATCTGGAATGGCTGCTTAATAATCCCTATATAGTTTTTTTTCCATAAATGAAAAGAATCAGGAAGAGATACTATGGAAGCTTTGTCGTGTAAATTGGATGGCACGGATTGGTTGCAGGAAAGAGAAACTGAATGAAAATGGTCCCTTTCCCCCTTATCGTCTGGGCAGTGCTGTGCACGCAGCCAAAGGAGGATGAGACCGGAATTTAAGAATCGGATCAGGAGGGACATATATAATAAGATGTCTCAATGACCAAAAAATCATATTCACACATTATTCCGATTAATAATTGCAAAATGCCTTTTGTTTTCTACTTAATAAACTTCCTAGTTTCGAGAATTGATTCAATGAGATTAAAATCATTAATCCTTGGTCCAGCGTACTAAGTCAAAATCACAAAAAAAAAAAAAAGCAAAAAAAATGAAGGAGAAGGGCATGAGCGCATGAGATTACCAGACTAATCATCGAGCCAGTCTCGTAGAGGAGTATTTATATCAGATTCGAAAATTTCGAGTCATACTACAGGAAATCGTTCCATAGGAAATCGTATGAATGGGAGACATTAAAATTATATTTTGTCCGCTGCGGACTATTTTCTATTTTCAAGTCCATTATAAAACCAGCGATTCATAATAAATCTTTCTAGGTTTTCTTTGCAAGGAAAAACTTCCAAGTGGTTGCAATCGCTCGAGGGCGCCACAATTAGCGTGTGCACCATGAACTATAATCGGCATTTTTATAACTCCATCCCGGTCACGTTTAAATTCAACGCTTGCAAATCGAATATCCCAGAGATCCAAACACAAGACGGAAAATTAAGTCGGGCCCTCAAGAAACAGGTAACATGCCTTTGAAGTTTGAAGCAGACAGTCATTTTGTGTGTTCCTTTCTTCTGCCTCAAGTCTTCTCCACTAATTAGCGCATTAAACAAAAGAAGGTCAAAAGTTGAAGGCAATCTTATTGCATTCACCCAAAAATGGCACTGTTTATACAAATTCCAAGCGTAATAGATGCACAAGAAAAAGAAAAAGTTGGTGGAAAGTGGAATCTGACAGAAACGGACAAGCACCTCACGCGGTGGTTTGACGGATTCTAAATGACATTTCCAAGTTCACCCCAATCTTCCAGGGTCAACAATTAATAAAAATTAGGCACCAACAGAAAAATCAAAGTACAAAATGTTCATTACAGCATTTCTAGAGTTGAAAACGAGGTCTGTATGACAAAAGGGATTCTGAAGTTTGATCCTTTCTACTGATTTTCTTTTTTAAGTAGAGATGACAAAATTATACATGACAACTTTGTCCTTTTGGTTTATTAACTCTCTCCTTTATAATCTCCTTCTATTTCAGAAGCATTTTATGAGGGTACGCCGGTATTTGTATCGTTGCACCACAAGAATATGAAAAGGGGCATTATTGCAGAGACCAACTGCTTCGATACTTCGAAGAAAGTGGCAACACCAGATTCCTCTACTGCACATCACCTGGCTGGCAACGCCTCTCGGAGAAGCGCTCTGAATCTGTGCAAATGTCCAAGCATTTGATTTGGACGCCAGAGCCTATAAAATCCCGAGACTTAAAGCTACCATCCTTCCTTATTTTTAACATAATCATCCTAGTACTGGAAGGGAGACCGCTCTTAAAATGCATGTCAAATTAAATATATGTTGACAGGAGCATCATTAGGTTCCAGGTCCAATACAATTCGTCAAATAAAGAAGTTGCCAATCACCTATCAATCTATATCAAACACCATTCTTGATGCACTGAAAACATGCCCAATAGATTTCAATCCAATATACATATCCCTGAGCATCAACGCAGTGGCTTTGTCTTCGAGCCGGGAACTCTGGCTAGCCACAAACCTACGAATACTTCCATTCACTTCCACATAGCTCCAACCAGGTGGCTTCTGGATGACAACATCATCTATTGCTTCTCTTACACGAGAAGCTTCTTCATGCTGATCCGTATCAGCTAGCATGTTAGATAACATCACATAACGGGCTCCATGGTAAGGCTCCATCGCAAGAAGCTCCTGGCCAGCAATTTTAGCCAGTTCCACGTCTCCATAGGTCTTGCAAGCACCTAAAAGTGCTCTCCAGATCACGGAATTGGGCTTATATGGCATGCTCTTAATTATGTCATATGCTTCATTCAAGCAACCAGCTCTCCCAAAAAGATCAACCATACAGCCATAATGCTCTATTTTTGGGTTGATACTGCAGATAGTCATCATAGATTCGAACAACTTCTTACCTTCTTCAACTAAACCACTATGGCCACAAGCACTCAAGATTGCCACAAATGTAATTTCATTTGGCCTTAATCCTATCAACTTCATGTCTTCGAAAATTGTCATAGCAGTTTTACCTAGTCCATGATGAGCAAGACCTGAGATAATGGAATTATATAGGAGAGTAGTTTTTAGATTGTCGGGGGTTTTACGGAAAATATCCATAGCAGTATTTATGTCCCCACACTTTGCATACATATCAACAGCAGCAGAAGTGAAGTCCCCATGTTCTCCAAAAGACCAGGTTTTAGCATATTTGAGGTGAATTCTCCTCCCCAACTCAAGGGCACCAAGTCGTGCACATGCAGAAAGAGCAGCAACTACAGAAATCACATCCTGTTGTATTCCCATATCCTCCAACTGTACAAACAATTCTAATGCTTCCTGAAAAAATCCAGCACGAGAGTAACTGTTAATCATAACTGTACAAGAAACTATATCTTGTTCATCCATTTGGTCAAAAATCCGCCTAGCAACCTCAATGTCCCCGCACAGAGCATATCCGCTGACCACAGAAGTCCAAGCTGCAATACTTACGCTAGTTCCCATCATGCTTAAAACTCTTTCTGCCATTTTTAGGAACCCACATTTTGCATACATATCGACAAGCGTATTCATCAGTAAAATGTTATTACCTACAGAACCCAAGATTATATATGCTAAACAATGTATCTGCTTCCCAGCAATGGGATCAGCCAGTGATGAACAAGCAGATAACAAAGCAACAATGGTATACTCATCAGGACAGATGTAAAGTTCCCGCATTTCGTTGAAAAGTTGAAGAGAAGAGGGAGCTAGACCACCTTGTGCATACCCAGTAATCATAGTGTTATATGAAACGAGGTCTCTAACAGGACTTTCCTCAAATACATAGCAGGCATTCTTCATATCTCTGAAAGTACAATACATATGTAACAAAGCATTCACAATATAGGTATCGGACCCGAACCCATTCTTTAAAATTTGGCAATGAACCTGGCGGCCTATTTGCAGCCGTGACAACCTGACACTGGACTTTAGCAGGAAAGGGAAGGTGAATTCATTAGGCGACTCAACTCCTTCATCAAGCATTGACTTGTAGAGAAATATGGCATCTTCAGGTGTATCACCAAGGGAGTAGCCCCTGATCATGGCATTCCATATGAATACGTCTGGAAAATAAATTTGGGAAAAAAGAGCTCGAGAATGTTGTAGGCCATTTCTAGACCCTGATAAAGCAAAGAATGAGATCAGCCCGCTCAAGACGAACAAATCGTCATGACGGCCATTGACGATGACCTGTGCATGAATTTGGAGTGCTTCATTGATGGTTTTGCATGATCTTAACAAAGCGTTGAGCGATTTATTTCCAGATCCAAATTGACGCAACATACTCGTGAAAGAAACACTGAGTTATTTATCGCTAACAATTTATTCGCGCTTGATTTATCCATTGACATGACTAACCTCTGGAACAAGAGTTCTCTTCGTTTTGCGCGTGCAGTTCGAGCTCATGGGCTAAAATTATGCACCGCAGACGATTTTCCAAGAAAATATAGATAGAATCTCTTGTAATCTGAGGGTGATAAGCGAGCACGTGAGGCAGTGAGAAGTTTAACGAGGTAAATTCAAAAGCAACTTGCGAGAAAAGGCGCCAATCAATTTTAACGTATGCAGAGTGAAAACATTATTTATTTGTCAAAATACAGATTGCAATAATATTTTTTCAATTGCAATACAAATGTAATTTTTATTAATCTGTTGATTAATATACCAATCAGTCTATCCATGCTCCCGTCATGTAACCTCTCACGAACTCAAGATGACCACTGAATATGATACATGAAATGAAATCAATTTAAAATATGTAGATTATATAATTATCTCATTATTCAATTCAATTAATTAATTATAATATCTTTATGTGTTCAAAAATGATAAAAATAAATAATGATAACAAAAATATAATGGAGATTGTATATTATAATTTTAGCACAATAAAAAAAATATTCATCCATAATTGTTACCAATTAATATAATAAACGCTTCAATGATGAATGAGCACACAAATGGAAGCTCAAATATATTAGCATAAGCGACGGTCATTTCTCCAACACGACTACAGTTTTTATCAAGGAACTGCCGAATAAAATCAGACAGAATGCAGCCTTGTGTTTCAAATCGATTGGACCACTCATCAACAATGAGAACGCATTCCAGTCTGGGCATATAAAAAGCTTTGGTGTAGCAGCCACAATACGTAACAAATCTTAAAAGATGTTCCAGATGAACTGCAATTAAGAGCACCAAAGACATCATCATGCACTCACTCAATTTTAAAGGAAAGGTTTTCTAACATCAATATGCTTGCTCAGTTACCAATCTGAGCAAACAAAATCGTGTAAGATTCTTACCAAGTCTCCAACAGAATTCTATATCTAATCGTAGAGACCTTCCTCGTGCCAAATGTCCACTAAAAAATCCACCATCTCCTGCAGAATTGGCCGCACCATCAATTAATAATCCCCATAACTGTCTGTCAATAGACAATTAATTACAATAATTAATTACTAATTATTCAGAAAAACCAGTGAATACAATCCCTAAATCCCACGGGGTAATTATATGAATTCGTTTTAGTATTTTGTAGTAATTAATCTTGAGCAACCAGTATGTGACATGAAAACAATACTTGCATCAAGTTTATTATATTTATTGTGTTAATTTTTCCAATCACATATGGTCATGTGTCCTATTTTTGAAATATTATCATTCAATTATAACCTCAAATGAAAAAATAGAACACATAACTATATGTGATTGAAAAACTTGACAAAAGTATAACGAACTTGACTTAAGTACTCCTCCGGTCCTTAATATAAGACCCATTTAACTAATTTGATTAAATTAGGTAAGTTAGTTAATTATAAGAAAAGTGACACATTTTTCCTAAAACACCATAATCATCTTTCTTAATACCTTATCTCCCTCTTCTACTTGATTATAGTTGAGGGAGTATCTATAGGGGTAATTTAGAGAAAATTGATAAATATGATAAATGAGTCTTATATTTAAGACCAAAACTAACTCAAGAATTGGGTCCTATATTAAGGACCGGAGGAGTATTTTCTGTTCTATGTATATATACACACACATTGGTATCCTTACTAATAATATTGGCTACAATAAATTTGGATGGTTGCTAAAATAAATAAATAAATTCAAATGATTAAAATTTTAATTTTTTGTAACTATTACCGTGAATAGCAGGGGTATTTGCCTAGTTTATCTCCAATTTTGAAAAGGAAGAGGAGTGCAACTTCAACTTACAGCTAATGGTATTGGCTGTTGAAAAGGTTCCGTAGATAGAAGTAGGTCCTCATAGCTGCTTGTCAAGCTGCAATAAGTGTTCCAGATGCTTTCAGGAAACTTAACATGGATATAATATTTCAGAACCATTGACAGGCATAAACCAGATATAGAAATATATTTAACAACCCGGGCTTGAAACAGATACAGAAACCAGATCCAGGAATAAACCACAAACGGGGCTTAATGCAGATATAACAGATTACGAGGCAGAAACTATGAAGGTTTATCAAGAATTTTCACCTTATACAAGCAAAAAGTTTTCAGCAGCAGTATTGGCAACCGAGAAACTTCAAAAATATACACATAGAAATCCAAATCCAATTATGTCTTGTGCCTTTTTAAAGACAGTAAACGGACATGACTTTCACGTGTCAAAATGTGAGAAGATCTCACACGAAAAGTTATTAACTTGTTCCCACAAAACTCTTCACAGTTGTTCAAGTTATTTGTCCCTGATAATTCCGTTGCACAACAACTTAAGAGGTGATAATACTACCTCAGGTCCTAATTATAGGGCCTCATTTGTAGTTTATAAACAAGTTCTTATAACTAAGACCAGAGGTAGTATAAAAAAACACACACACAAAGGTAAGGATACAAGGTTGAGTCCCCTGGCCATAGGCCACTCCCACAGCTCGATCAAACTGAACTGTTTAGAGTAGACTTTCCAGGGCCTATTAATAGAGTCTAGCATGACAATGACCATGGCACTCAGCCAAGAGGTGCATCTAATCAGAATGAAGCCAGAAAGTTTTATTGTTATGAAGATTCTTAGTCAGTTCAAGATGCTATCATCTAATCCCTTGCATAAAAACGACTGATAAGAAAAAGGAGCTAGTAACCAGTCTTCACCAGTCCAGAGATTATCTACAGGGTGAATCTAGCCTAAGAAGTGGTTATACCTTTGTCCTTGAGACTCATGACACTATCTGCTCCATTCCTTTCACTGCACATCCAATTTGATGCTAATCGTCTCTCATAACTTGATTAACAGTAACACAGCTCAATTACATCTTGCAGACATTCATCAGCAGTTATTGACCAGCTAAAGGACACAGCACAAATTGAGCTTTTCCCTCAATGTGCTGACACAAGGTTCATATATATATGATTAAAACTGACAATGATAGCAAAATATATTTATGCCTTCTCTAACTTTGTAAGAAGGATAGATATCTGTGCTCGTTATTTCAAAAGGACACTAACATAATGGCAGGTAAAGAGGTTCGAGACATTGTTATGAACCCATTTCTTTTGTGCTTCGCAGTCATCAAGCAAACTACAATTCAGTCACGCTTTTCTCTAACATTTTGGATTTCACTTCATTGTCCAAGTGTTTAATGCATTTTTCTTATTGCATCATTTGCGCCGCTTGATTGGCAAGTTTGTCCACATGCCTACGATCAAGACATCTACTGGAAATGGCAACCACTTTTCAAGGGTTTCATCACCTTTAAAGAAGTAAATCTTCCTCACTTTTTTAAGAGCATGATTATAGAACACCTTGGAACTACTAATCTCCGGTCTTTAATATAAAAGTTAGCTGACTAATTTGAGTAAATCAAAAAAACTAGTTAAGTTAGTTATTTGCAATAAATATGTGTTGTCCTTCCTAAAATATCTTTGCTAATCAAGTGTATTAACTAGAACTACCATTATTAAAAGGAATACCTTGAGAAAAAAATAGATAAATATAAGAGACAAAATGGATTAGGATCTTATATTTAAGACCAAAATAAATGTCAAACGAGATTTTATATTAAGGACCAGAGGTAATACTTTACTGGAAAATTTTAGACATGAGAAGAAAAGTCAAACTCATAATCAATACAATCTCCTGAACTCTAGGAAAATGATCCTCCCTTCTTTCCGCTGCCGCTTTTTTCCTCCAACGCATATACAGCACACACGATTCAAATTTCCCAATTCAATGACCGTAGTCTGAGGAATTCAATGCAAGCTTATAACTACTATTTTTCAAGGGGAAAAAAAGGGAATTGTCACAGTCGGTTTTTTCTAGTTGTCATGCCATCAGAGTAGTTTTTTTTTTTTTTTTGGTGAAATAATTTTTAGGAAAGGGGTTGGGCTCACCCACAATCCAAAGACAGGGCACCTAACACTTAATCCACTGGGGCCTGTCCCTATGGGGCACGGGAGCATGACAAGCAAGCCCTTTTTTTCTCGCCCAACTAGGTGGAGAAGAATGGCACTCCCCAGGATCGAACCCCCCTCTTTGGTGAGAGAGTCCGACCCCTTCGCCAGCTGAACCCACAGACGAGGGGTTTTAATTGCGCGTATGCACGTACCTCGTGATGGATTCTCTAGGTGGTCTCTGCAATCTTTTAGACCGATCACCTACCCACTCTTTCCTCTTCTGATGCCAAGCAACCTCAGCTGCATCATTAAGTCGTAAGATTCATGAGAGAGGGGGGAAAAAAAAGGTTACAGTATATAGCATGAAATAACACAATTATTTTTGCATTAATTTTTCAAAGACTTCATTAACCTGAAAGTTACATTATAACAGCAACAATTTTCCGATGTTCAAACAGAAGGTGGGAATCACAAAATTTATGACATGTACTGACCTATTTATTTAAATCTAGACATAAACTCGCTAGTCTCGACAAAGGGTTAGCTAAGATCTCTGTTTCAATGTTGACTGTCAGACTGCGTACAAGAAGTACTCTATGCATCAACATCTAAATGTGGTGATCAAATAATTGGGAAAACAAGATCATATTCTCCGCTAATTTCAGGCTATCATTTAGTGATAGAGTGTCATTGATGAGAGAATTTATATGAAAAGTTGTAAGTTTTTGTGTTTATTGGAACAGAACTACAGTTATAGGAAAAGAATTTACCGCGATTTACAAAAGCTTCTTTCCCGGCAGATATCTCTTTTCTGGCATCATGCGAAACCTCTGAAGATTGACTCTGATGGTTGTTTAAACTGCTATCGTTGGGTTCCATTTTTTCTAAAGCAGTAAACCATTGCCTTCAACAACAAATATCCATAAAAAGTAAGTAGAAAGAAGACTGGCCATTTGGCCATCAGCTGTAAATCGCCAGTCATGGACAACAAAAGCTCTGCTCCGAGCAGTTTTAAAGGGTTTAGCTTGAGCCCTCAGGCCTAAAATGAAGCGTCCACATGTACTGACCGGATACCTAAAGAGAGTTCTTATGACTATGATGTAACTAATGAAATTTGAAGTCTTCATTTCCACAATTTGAAGCTACTTCTATATTTTGTTCTTCAGTGAGATTGGAAAAGCCATCCCGTTGCTATTTCAATCAATCAAACGATTCCCTTGCTTCCTTCCTCGACAAGATCCACGACAATCCTTTTCTACTTTCTGAAATTACATTATTCTTAACTACAATCAATCGAATCCATTTTCTACACCCACATTTTGGTAATACCCGGTGTTATCAGCGATTTCGATAGAACAGTAACAGTAACATCCATTAGTATCGAAGCTAAACGATAAAGGAAAATATTCGTTGAGAATGTAAAGAGAGAAGTTTAAACAAAAGAGATGCTCGTAACACTGTAAGTTCAGTATAAGAACTCCATCGACAAGATATGAGTGCGCAGTTCAGTTTCAAAAAGTTACATTATGCTCATTGACTATAGGAAAAGCCACATCGCAGAGAGAAGAATATTAAAAAAGAATGAAATGGAAAGCAGCGATGAGCCGAGCAAAAGAAAAACGTGGGCAAACCTATTCGGGTCACAGGGACCAGCGCCGAGGAAGAAAGCAGTGTTTGGAGTTGGCGTGTATGTAGCCTACGAAGAAAGAAAGATTTTTTTTGTTTTTCCCGGGAAGTTTTATGAAGACTCGAGAAATTCAACACGAAAAACAGGAGAAGTAGCTACTCCTGCCAGAGACATTTAGGTGAAAAAAAGATTCCGTTTCTATGTTGCAGGCTCAAAAATACAGACTGATGCGATCCCTCCGATCAAGACACGTGGTCAAATCAAATGGCGATGTGACGGTGACCACATATTTCCGTTTAGCCCGTCTTTCATTTTCAACGTCGGTTCATTCCAATTGTCAAGCTTGATAGTAATACTCTTTTCTTTTCTTTTTCGGTGCATAAATTTTAAGAAAAAAGCCGGGCTCACTAATGATCTAATAACAGAAAAACTAACTTATAATCCACCGCGTGAGCCTGTGCGGCAGCATGTCAGGCAAGTCCATTCTGACTGGCCCAGTAAATAGAATCTCCCAGCTCCACTTAATTGCGAACATGTCTCCTCTCCAGCGTTTCGACCAGCTCAGGAATCAAACCTACTCCATTTGTAAGAGTGTCCAAGCACCTTGCGGACTGAACACAAGGACGAGGGGTGATAGCAAAAATGGTCATAATGAGATTAAAAAATTTATTATACTCCTCCGGTCCTTATTATAAGACCCAATTTGACTTTTTATTTGGTCCTAATTATAAGACCCAATCCATTTTGTCTCTTATATTTATGCATTTTTTTCCAAGATAATCCTTCTAATAATGATAGTTTTAGCCAATATACTTAATTAGCAAGGATATTTTAGGAATGACAATACTTATTTATTATAAATAACCAACTTAACTTACTTCCTTAATCTCCTCAAATAAGTCAATTGGGTCTTATAATTAGGACCGGAGGAGTAATACATTATTATTGTGTTGATTTTATATTATTAAAAGTTATAATTTCTATTAAAAGTTATATTTTTTTGTTAATTTCATTTATTATTGTGTTGATTTCATTTTTAAAAGTTATAATATATATTAAATAAGAATAAAGTTAAAAATTTATTAAATTTATAAAAAAAATTAATGAGATTTAAATTTTTTCTTAATCTGTATAAAACATGTTAAAAATAATTTGCAAATATAATTAGACAAGTGAGTTTTTTTTTGTGTGGACAATTTGATGTGTGAGCTGCAGGGTACTAGTATTGTTGTCCAAGCGTCTATTTAAAAATTTTTATTTGGTTTTAAATGTAATATCATGTTTTTGTCACTCCTATTAAACTTTTTCTTTTCTTGTGATACGCTGTCGGACATTTTCATGTCTGTCCATTAAAATTTATTTACTAAATAATAAAAATATTTTTAAAAAATATTATAAATTGTTTGTATATTAATTATAGATAACTAGCTCATTCAATTTTTTAAAATCAATGGGAATTAGTCAACATGATATCATGTTTAAGATGGCAGATAACTGGAGTGGGTTTGCAAACTCTTGAACAAAACATGCTTCTGACACTAAAATAAAGTGATACTGTTTCTGGTTTTTACGTAATAGCTAGCTGGCTAATTTGAATATATAAAAAAATTAATTAAATTATTTATTTGTAATAAATATGACCTCATTAATCAAATGTATCAATTGAAATTATCATTTGATGAAACATTTAACATATATAATTATTACAATAATTACATTGAGAAAAGTGAATAAATATGAGAAGTAAAATGAATTAGGATTTTATATTTAAGATAAAATTAAAAATAAAATTAACTCTTATATTAAGAATCGAATGTAATAATTAATTTAAAAGTGGCTTTTTATGTTAAAAGATACAAAGACTCGTTTACAATATATTTCTAAATATAAAGGCTAAAACTTGAATTTACCTATTTTCATTTCAGTTGTGTTGTTTGATGCTTAATGTTATCAATCTTCATACTTACACCATATTAAATTTAAATTAAAGCGGATAAAGTAGTGTTTGAAACGTTGAAGAAAACATGTAATTGGGCGTGATTAGGAAATAATAAAAGACAGTTGGCTAAAATATGTTTTTGGTCCTTTAATTTTACATAAAGTTTTATTTTGGTCCCTTAACTTTAAAAAGTAAGCTTTTAATCCTCTAACCCTAGAACCGTTAGCAAAAAATGATCATATTAAGCTCTTGAATGTTAATAAAACATTTCTAAATGCTATGATATTAAGTTTAATTTTCAAAACAACAATGATTGTTACAAAAAATTATCATTTAAGATTAAAAATATACTTTTTAAATTTAAAGGACCAAACTGAAATTTTACATAAAATTAAAAGACCAAATGTATATTTTAGCCAAGACAGTATTTGAAAATTAATATTATTAGGTTAGCGACAGAAAAAGGAAAATAATATTATCATATTTCACAAAATATGCATAAAAATAACAACACTAGTGAAAAGAATTAGTTTCTCACGTTATCAAAAAAAAAATCACAAAATGACGAATTCATGTCATTATTGAAAAAAAAAAGATCATATTTGATTCCTAACAATATTTTGAAGGAATTAACAAATTGTTGGTTGAAATGGTAAGTGATTTTATCATGTAAAAATGAAAATACAAATTCAAATCCCGAAAAAGATATTTGTTAGGAGGGCTTTAATCTTAACATTTTCAACATGATAGAGATTAATTTCAAGCCTAAAATAATTTAAGGATACTCTGAGGTATAAAAAAACAACAATGCTTTGAAGTAACATGCCTCTAATAAAAAATAGAGTACATGTGTTTACTGAAAATTAGCAATATTAAACTGTTGTTCATAATTTTTTATTTAGTTATAATGATTAAATGCACACAGACGACTAGCAATTGGATTAGTTCGGCCTTTGGACATTCATGGGTCGACCCGACGAGACGTGGATTTAGTTTTGGGACTATCAAATGTTTAAAATTGGTTCATCGTGCCTTGCCCTTTTCATTCGGTGGGCTCTCATAACGACCCAACCAGCGAGGAAACACTGGACCTTTGCAGTTTTTAAGAAGTCTAAAAGACTAAGCTTTTATTTATGACCGTGTCCCTCCGACAATATTGCTTTCAATACAAACATACTAGTATTTATAAAAATAAAAATCTGCATTTATATAATGCTTTAAGTTATAAATTTATTGTAAATTTTTGTCGACATGCTTTTATACAAGTGATAGTTTGACATTTAATTTAATTCTAAATATAAGATTTCAATTCATTTTATCTCTCACATTTATTCAATTTTTTTCAGGGTAGTCACTATAAGAGTTACACATATTAAATATTTTATCAAATAGTAGTTCTAACTAATACACATGATTAGTAAGGATATTTTAGAAAATATAACGATTATTTATTATATATAACTAACTTAACTAATTTTTTAGTCTACTCATATTAGTTAATTAGTTCTTATATTAAGAATAGAAAGTAGTATTAACGTTGACAGGAAAAAAAACTTAACGGATCAATTCCACCTCTGGTCAGGGGGCGTTCAATTGCACTATGCGAAGGAATAATTAACGAGAATATGGCCATGATTTTAAAGTTTTTTGTTAAATTTTTTCATCAGAATGATTTTAAATGATTCACATCTTGATTAATAACTGCTACTTGACGTTAATTATTCGTTGGGAGTCCGTACCGGCAGCCGTTTTTTTTTTAAATTCATTTTTGTGCCTGAGTACCGACAGTTTGTTTTGCGGTAGCAAAATCCAGCGGGCGAGAGGCGACCTTGTATTCTGGACGGTACACCTTCGGCGCGTTAATGGGACAACATTCACAAGAAAATTTAATACTACTCTCTGTTTATATATAAAAACTAATTGACTAATTTTAATAGATTAAAAAAATTAGTTAAATTAATTATTTATAATAAATATGTGTTATCTTTTTTAAAATATATTTACTAATCAAGTATATTGATTAGAACTATTACCATTACAATGGCTACCTTAAAAAATAAATAAATATGATAAATAAATTAGATTCAGATTTTATATTTAAGATTAAAATAAAAATTAAACAATCTCTGGGAGGCATAGTATTTTCCATGTTCCTCTTCATCAAGGTATCCCCTAAAACCATGAAGAGAGATGAGGGAAGAGACGAGACTCTATATTGTCTTTATGGAGACCAATTATATTATGAGTTGAACTTGAAATTAAAGCCTGTACATACGCAGCGACAATATGCATGGCACGTATACAACCTTATAAAATTCGAAGCAGGCGTTACTTTCAATTCTAAAGCTAAAGGCTTTTCGTTCTATCGAGTCTAAGGAGCATTCCCGCTGATCACAAAGATTGTCTTTTTAAGTGCATTGAGGATAAATGGTAGACTCCTCTGAACTAAATTTCTGCACGCTCCAAGATTAGGGTTTGTGTCCCAATTATCTGTTAAGTACTACCTCCGGTCTTAATTATAAGAGCCAGTTAACTAATTTAAGGAGATTAAAGAAGTAAGTTGAGTTAGTTATTTGTCCTAAATAGATATTGTCTTTCCTAAAATATTCTTGCTAATCAAGTTTATTAATTAGAACTATCATTATTTGAAGGGCTACTTTGAAAAAAAAAGATAAATATGAGAGACAAAGTGAATTGGGGTCTTATATTAAGGACTAAAATAAAAATCAAATGAGGTCTTATATTAAAGACCGGAGCAGTAATAATAGGGTTCCTAGCTACTATTTACGCCAGCTTAATTCAATTAAAACTAAGGCCTTTTTTTTTTTTTAAACCATTCTCCTCAGCGTGGTAATGAAGTGAGCGGTGTCGGTGGGGCCTACCCTTCTTTCCCTAGAATATGAATACCCCCAAATTCAATCATCATATACTTTGCTCTCTTATATTACCGAACCTTTTTGTTTCATTTTTCTGTCTCCACTGGCTGTCACACACATTTGTGTGTGCCTGATGTAATTAGCATCCTAGGGTTTATTTTAACCCATTATTCTCACCCTTTTAATTTCATCTCATCATTTCACACGTCATTATTCCATCTCATTTGTCTTCATACTTCCCTTCATATATCCTCGCTAATTTGTCGTGCTTCCCTCTGCCTATATGGTTGTCGAGATTCTCCTTTTGGCCCCCCATATTAAAAAAAAAAAAAA